TGAGTTGGCTTGGCTTTCTCAGCTTTCCTGCAAATGGACTTTTAGTGTGTTCAACTGAAGGGTGGGGATGCCGCGCGCGTAGATTAGCTTGGGTGACGGCTAGATAGCTTCACAAAAGCTAAGACCTAGTTCTTGCCTTGAGACTATTACCGTTTCTCCAAGCAGATGATCAAATGGCTGGAAGCTCAGAACCACAATGTCATTTCCCACATAGTTTGCTGCAATTACTGCTGTGATAGATGTAAAGTTGTGCCGCATGCTTGCGTATCAACGGGCTGAGCTCTCTTGAAATGGCTAGTGCTGTCCAGTTTTGGTAGTATGCAGCAAGCTCCTGGCATATTCTGGTACGCATTTGCAGACCAATCTGCGATTCCGAGTATTGATTGAAACGATGAAGGTATACGGATATTCTAAGCGGTGTTCTAGTGAGTAAATAATATCTCGTGTTTAGCGCTTCTCAATTGAAAACAGCTCAAGCACTGGAAGTTGTAGACGATCCATGAATAACAGCCTTGGAAAGTAATACTCAAGGAACAGTCACAAGAACAAATGAGTCAACTAGTCAATCGAAAATTCTCAAAAATCGAAATCGACTAAGAGGAGCCTTGAAGCGGCAATTACCATAAATGCTCCAAATTGAATTACAGTACCAGCCCGACGTTAATCAGGTCTTTGACTGATCTTGTGACCTCAAACCGTCGGAGTGCTGAGGGTGGTCTACATCAGAATCTCACGTACCTACCTAGCTTATCGAACAACACAGCGGCTCACGACGCTAAGTAGGTATGGACTATACCGGTGAGGTAAGATTCCTTTGTCGAGGCGTAAGGCATCATCTAAGGATCTGGGTGTGGAGTTATTCTCTGCTTTGTTTCATACATAGGGTGACAATAAGAGGCTGTGCTATGTTTCAAATGGACATAAGATCATGGAAATTAAGTGTCTGTGGTACTTGCATTATAAGCTCAACTGGCAAGGGTTGAGCTGCTCAAGCTCTGGGCCTATTTATCGGTAATAAGGCTTGAGCCAGAGAGTTGTGTTCCAGTGTTGCTGTAGTCGTAGGGGCTTGACCCGCAAGCCAAGCACTACGCGATGAAGATTGCCAACATAGACCTGGAAGTTTGTGCACTGGGATCGCGAAAACGTCCAGTGTTGTTTTTGGTTAAGCTATGACCCTGCCAATTCTTCCGATTGGCTTCCTAGGAGTCGGGGGCCAAACGCTAAGGCTGCTGATCCACGTCAATGTCCTTTTGTCGCACTGCGCCATTTGGCTTAGACGGTCCCCGCTCTCTTGGACATTGGTTCATTGCGCGCCTGTGGAATAGGAGAGTGATATCGATTGGCTCTATTAGACGCCGTCAGCGCTGCAGCCGTTTTGCCCTGGGGTCTTTACGAGCTGCTGCAAGCATGGCCAAGCCACCATAAAGTGGAGTTCAGTGTTGCAATCGGTCAAGGCTGTCATGATGCATCGGACCGATGCAAGCTAGAGTCCGAGTTTTTGGATCTGTCATTCTCGCCAAACACCTACTCGGGTTCATTGTCCTATAATTCGCCTGAGGCGTAACTGGCTGAAAGGGTTAATGAAAGGTCTCAGCGATGGTGCAGGTGGACTGTGAGAATGATGACGCACAACTTATTCTGACCAAGCGACCAAGCAACCCGAGGGGATGGGGGGTATACAGTTTCCCGGTGATTACCTAAAACGGAAATAGACTCGATACGTAGCAGATTTCGCGCTTAGCGACCTATGAGAGCTTTGTGGTTGCTTTCGTGCATGGCTATTCCTGCTGCCTATCTGGAATGTGAGAAATGGAGGGTAAGGTACCAATGGGGGCGGATGAGTGAGCAATCGAACCTGGGGGTCTGAGGATAAGGGAATGGAGCGATCACAGGGGCTGTGCGTGACATTGATAGTCAGTCACCCATGCCACGTTGATGATCCAGGATGTTGTTGCATCTTCGATGATAGATGATACCTCGTTAATAGGGAGAGGGAGATGCAAAGTCAACAATGATAAATAAGGTAGAATGTACTTGAGAGTGCGAAAGAGAGTGCCCCGAGCGGTCTGAGGGTCAGATACAGTCCGTGAAGTGGGAAACTGCCGGGCTAGGCTAGTTGCCCTTACCACCCTAACTTGACCTGATGTTATTGACGTTGAAAGCCAAGAGTCGGCCGCTCGTGGAAGCAAATTGACAGGGAACATAACTGGGAGGGAAATGGGTTGATAGCGATTTGCGCGGTATTGGGGGAATAGAATGGATGGCCGCATTATTCATCCTTCTAGCGCAGTTAGTTGCGCCTGTCAATGGCGCCTACCACTTACCCCTACCTAACCAACTCCTTCCGCTTCGCTTGTTCAGACCAACCACGCGCCAAAAGCGGAAGGCGTCTACTAGTTACCATTCGCTCGCACCCGTTTCCTTGGTCTGGGAGAAACGATTGTGCTTTTCTAATCAACCTGTCTACGGCAGTAGGGGAGCCATTCCGACTTATTCCACGGCCCGGCACTCAGTCAATTCAGCGGCATGTCAAGCGGGCGCCGCGCGCTTTTGAACCCTCCAGTAGATGGGAGTAGTACAGTAGCATTGGATGGGGATGCCTCCTAACACCCTCCCCCTCTGTCCATCCCTATACCCATTGTCCTGTCTTTTCTGATCCATGGATCGCCGTGGACCGCCCTTTCAACGATGAGCCCGCGACCTTGGCCCTGGATTCGATTACTGTCGACCCGCTGTCCACTGTGCACAAGCCTATTGGACTGGCTGCCTGTTCCAGGGTGCTTGTCCTGGACGGCTAGAATTTACGCGACGAACCCCTCTTGGCAAAAACCGAATCGTTGAACCTTTGTCGACATGTGTTAAGGCCGTCCTATCTCCACGACCAGAGTGATGGGCCTAATTAGACTGTACCGTTTAGGTCGAGGATTGACGAGACTGCGTGGCCCCTAACTATGAGCTTGCCTCTCGCCTAGCATCTGCGCTTGCTCTTGGCGGCACGGAGAACACGCTACGTATCACGCTCATTTTGACTCGTGCTATTGGATTGACGCGCTTGGAGCATTATGCCATTGGATTGGGCTCAGAAGGGCACGAGTACTAAGTTGTTGTTTCTGCACAGCCAAGGAGACGGCTCCTTCTCGTTTGCATCGACCGCTCACTCGTTGAGCCATAGAGAAGCGAGCGCAAGGATTCCAATCCCACGGCTTTCTTTGGACTCTTCCCGTCTCGGTCGCCTCTGAGCATCGCTCTCCCTTCCAAGGAAGCATTCGAAAGCCATCGATTCGTAGTTGTCAGCCAACTGCCGCCTGCAAAGCATAGCACCCAGTTTGCGCGTGTTCCATCGCGTGCCATATCTAGTATGTAGACCAACTTCACAAGCAAGGTCCAAGGTTCAGAATTGACGCGTTAGCGCCAGGCGTCAAATCTCGACGCAAGCAGGGTTTCGGCCTTTAAACCGCGAGACGCATACGCAGCACAAGCGATCATTGGCAACCGTGAATCAGCCTGAAGCACAGCATACAACTGGCATATGGATCATGTTGCGCCTCTCTACCCTTTCATCGCTTGAAAAAAATGGTCTGGTATTCCAAATACCCGCCAACTGCGGCCCCAGCCCAATCTGAGAACGTTTCGGCTGTCGTCTCATTGTACAGGTCCATCTTGGGTATGATGGGTTGAGCGATGGGGTCTGTTACCATGACCCGCTTGAATTCGACGTGGGAGGAGAGCCCACCCATTTGATGGAGCCTTACAAGGTGGGTGCGCGCGCACACTCATGACCCCATGTCAGCTCTAGCCGTCGCATGGGTACCTCGCTGGCCTGGTAAGGCAATCGACATGGGTGCTAAACACGCTGCCGGTCAACTTCAAATCGATGGGTGCTTGTCCTTTCCCCGCTACGCCACATACCAACACCATGACTTCTGGTCCCTTGGGCCATAGCTACCGGATCTCTTTCTCTGAACACGCCCCCCAGCCCTTCGTTACCCAAGCTCTTTTCCCCATTTCCCTTCAAATGGTGCCACTCCCGCAATCATTATTCACCCTTGTTACCGGCATGTTTTCTCATTGCTCAGCGTACGCTATGGGGCATTCTACACAGCACTGCAATTCAGACCCTTGTCGGGTACTGCCCTGTGCTCATGGTTCCATGCTACTCAAGCCTTCTTCGAGGAAGGTTTCCTGTCAGTGTTCCTTTACTTCGTCATGCACGTCCAACGGGATTGTGTACTGCCCTCTTCATATAAGTCGGCATCCTGTCCCTGGCCGTGTTTGGGGCTCAGATGGTCCATAGATAGATCACCGCTTTATAACCAAGCTTTTCGAGTCTTCATCTCTAATCAGCTTCACAAGGCATTGTTATAAGCCTCGCTCCCTTACTTATTAATCCCACCTCGCAACAAGATCACTCTATCATCGGCTTCATAGCTCTTTGACTTTCCGTATGTCTCAATCCGAGTCTCTATACCTTCCCTTGTCCCCTCCATCCTCAGTCAAGATGGACTCGAACACGACAGATGGAACCTGTGACAACCCGAGCTCACCTCCCACCAGATCAACTGTTGGTAGTCAAGTGTCTGTTAGTGGGGAGTTCGTCCTTGGCTCAAACATAAGTGCCTCGCCGCAAATTCATACGCTCGAAATATCCCCTCGGCCTCCAGTTCCCTCGCCAAACCATTACTCATCCACACCCTACTTGAACACACCAACCCCCGAGTCTACTTACCTCTCCACATCTGCCTCTCAATCATATTCTCAGTTTCCAACCTTGGCTTCAGCAGGCATTGATTCAACCTGGAGTCAACCAGATCAATCTCAGGTGGGACCAAGATCATTGATTTCCTTTCCACAAGAGGACAGGCATCAATTGGTACTGAACTCTCGTCAGGCAGGACGGTCAACCAGCATGAGGTATTATTTCTTTTTGCCTTCAACTCTACACAAAGTACTAATGTTACTATTCAAGTACTGTTGCTATCCAATTTGATCCAGCCTTTACTATGGGACCTCGATCAGCCTTCACATGGCCAGGTACGTTGTTATGTCTCCTAATCGATGTCAGTCGAAATTGACATCTTTATAGGCCCTCTTGAGACAAGTAACTCTGGAAACAGTTTGCTAAGTCCTGGACTGCCTTCAATGGGACATGTTTCTGGAAGCAGCCTCACACCCCCACCACAGTCGAGATCCGTGACATCGAGCCCCCCACGACTGTCTCTTTCGGCAGACCAGCGAGAAGTCAAACGACAGTCAGATAGGGCACGTCGAGACTCGAGGCTGGTGAACAGAATGCGCCGCGCTAACAGTAACCCTTACGTCGATTCTTCGCCTTCGGCTTTGGGGCTTGCCGCTACCACAACAGCTATGAACATCTCAGCGTATACAACGGCACCTGCTCCCGTGACTCTCATGAGCGATACTCCGACTACAATGAGCAGCTCAACGTATCTTCAATCTTACAGCCCATCCCTCGAAGACCATCAACCGCAATCCGCACCCGTTTATCCTACCTCATACCCACAAAGCTTGTAAGACCCCTGCATATATAGGGCGGCGCCCGGACCATGCTAATCTCTGACCATCAGACAAGCAAACTATAATATGCCTGTGGATTATGCATCAGTTTATGCTGGATCCAGTCAATATAGGTATTTTCCTAGGGTGCATATCTTTCGCGAGCAACGCTAACTGTTCATAATAGTACTCGATCACCGCCTGTACCTGTTGGCCAGGACGTTGGTTTTATGTATCAGGTACCTACAGTCCTGGGCCCGGGAGGCTCAAACACACAAGAAGCTGGACATGTCAGAGTCGTGCAAAGTCGGCCGAAGCCGCGATGCTGGGAACACGGGTGCAATGGACGACAATTTTCAACTTTCAGTAATTTGTTGCGACATCAGCGAGAAAAATCTGGCCAAGCCGCAAAGGCTTCCTGCCCTAACTGCGGAGCCGAGTTTACGAGAACTACTGCACGAAACGGACACCTACTTCACGACAAGTGTAAGGGTCGACGAAACTCATGAGTCGAATACGTTTAAATGAACGAACTGTACAAAAACAGCAACGCGAGTATGCAGGTCGGATGCGATTCTTGCTGCAACGTTCGTAGCTCAGCCTCGAACTGAACCGGATCTGGCGTTAGTGGCTTATGGTCTACCAAGAACATCACAATTATTGGTATATTGCTTTTAAAGACGGCGTGTTTTTTTCAGTTACAAGGACTCGAAACGATCGTGTCCTGCAGTCTGAATTGTTAAAGCCAAGGGGTCGGCTGGCGTTGTTTATATGTCATCAGCGATCAGATATGGTTCGCATCATGAAAGAACTTGGGATGTCTTAAGAGGCAAGGACATGCTGTTATTGGATTACCTCCGGAGCATATTGGATTGGAGTCTACTTTTAGCCATTCTTTGGATTCTTTCTTTTCACCAATACCTCCGTATAAGTGGCTGGTATGGATGGAGCCGTACTATCTTTCTACTTCTATATGTACCTATTCTTTTTCATTTGGAAGCAGCCTATCACAGCGCTTTATTTCAGGCTCAGGATGGAGATGTTTGAAGCCTGGTTGCCATAGATATAGGTACAACACGTTATATCTTCGATATAGGCAACGAACCTCTAGTCAGCAATATTTAGTGTATGCCGTTTCAGGCATTTGGCAGCTAAGCAACTCACTGCCCAAAAAGCGCGGTACGTAGGTAAACCGGTACAGACTAAGCTGGAATGGATGACAGAAGTGAGCAAATTGAGGGTGGTAGTATGCAAGAATCGAACGAGGCATCGGATTTGAAACAAGCCAACCGTACAGGGAGGACGGGATGCCCCAGACTACTGGGAAGGGGATGTGAGTCCGAAGCAAATGATCGTCGCGGCACTCAAGCCCACCCTTGGCTGAGTGACCAGGTTTAGGGGACACAGCCGCGCCGCAAATAGCATGGACCAGGCCAAGAACACAAGTTGGCTTTAACATGTGTGCCTGGCTTATGAGGGATAATAATTAGGACAAGTACTCCGTACTCTGTACCTTAGTTCTAGATGAGTTTTAGTGCCATCTTACGCGGACGCATAGCTCCACGGTGTGGGAAGGATTGTGGTTCAAATGGAAACATTGGTAACGGCAGTAAACCGATCGTTGATTTTGAAGGTTCAAACAAGATGATAAGCCAGTAAACCTTATTAACCTCGTACGCCGGCTGAGACATTAAACTGCTACCCGACTCCGTGTCCGTGTCCGAACCCGTCTCGGCCCCGAAAACAAAGGCACCCCGGAGAACAGACTTGGACGAAAAGGCCGAAGATTGACACCTTGGCCGGGGGTGTTGCTGGCGAATGGACGGATCGTGGTCGTCCCAACGGCCGGCCGGCGTAACCACCACGCCCAACAAGGCGGCGCGAAGTGAAAGGAATTGGAACCCCCTGGTCTGGGCTGCATCCATCACCCCTGAGTCTTGCGTGGGGATGCTGTCAGGTTTCATACACTCACACCTGGAGGATGTCATCAAAAATGTACCCCAATTCACCGACATGGCATGTGCATTGCATTTGATCTTTAATGAAACGGGGGCCAGCCGCATGGTTTCTGGAACAATCAAGCCTGATTCTGTCAGAAAGCTGAGCCAGCAACCGTCTGAAGTATAGAGCATTGACAAACCAGTATCATGGCCAAAGTAATGCATCAACATATGTTAGTATGGTATATGTATGAATCTGCTGACTTGGCCTTGGCCAATCCTGACGTAGGGACGGTTGCTGAGTGGAGATGATTGACGCGAGCGGACAGATTCCCGGTTCCTTTGTTATTAGAGTATCCAACGACCCCCGAGGAGTGTACGGGTCACTTACTCCTGTTGTCCTTGCAGGAACGACAGTTGTTGGATATCGGCATTCATGTCTACCTACTGTGCTACTACGTACCTACCTAATTACGTTTATGTAAGTGAGCGAATCAGATTATATCGACTGTGACAGTAACTGGGTAAGGTAGCCAGCCTACCAGCTGGCAGGGTGGCATACATAAACCTATACGGCACAGGTGCACAGTACTGTACAATTGTAGCCTAAGATAACCTTTTGACAGCCGGAAAACCGGAAGAAAATCTTAAATGCTTGTCTGTTCATGACGCCATGGACCACAACGACGGGACCGTCTTTCCTTTGTAGTAATTGATTCGACAAGCGAAATCCATCACGGCGATGGGTCAATCCCTAGACACGGGAATGGCGAGGTTGAGTGCCAAGTGTGACACAATGGATCAGATCGTCACCTTTCTGCTGTGAAAAGAGAGACTTTTGTGTGTCAGCTTTCCTTCCTTATTCGGATAGCTTACGAAAGGCGCGGATGCATTAAGGAGGAATCTTGGCCACCTGGGAGGCGCTGTCATAAGAGAGCCCAGTTTTCCTAGGCTGAGTGAGGCTCGCTGATTAATAGCCCTGCCACCCCAGCGATCCACAGCATAACATAAGAATCAAGGATCTCGAGGCCAGACAAGAGGTCGTTGCGCAATGCGACGTTGATCAATGGTATGGCACAAGCACTCTGGGTAGGGCTGGGAAAAGCGGGATGTGATGTCCAGTTAAGGCCAAATAAACGTGGAGGTGGGGATAAAATATTGAATTGACCTAAGAAAGAAGGGAGTTGTTCCCGTCTTTCTTCTACAGGAACTGCAAGGTACGCGAAAAACATGTTCGTAGGACACAAGTTCGGTAGTAGGTAAGCTGTATAATGAATGACAATGTGCCAGCATAAGGGCTTTCCAAGTTCTGGGGGCCAATGGATGCCATATCACAGACTGGACGATAGCACCCTTCAATAAGACCTTTGCTACCTTTCTGGTCTTTCTGGTCACTCTTTTTTTGTTCTTACCTCCCCGATCGACCGGGGCTGCTAACCGAAATAAACAAGCATCTGAAGAACGCCGGAAGTCAATTCGGCGAACTGTGTGTGGTATATCGTTGGCCGATAAGCGCCTCGGCCGCCAAACCTACGACAACACCAGAGTAAGTAGGGTAACATTTGACCCTTTCCCCAGGCCTGAACCTGGACGGAATGGCTCGCCTTCAACCAGACTACTAGACTACCTCACTTCTAATTAGAGGATGATCAAGGTCGGGCTTTAGCTTTCGGAGATGGTCAAGCCGTGCCTTGGCGGGTTTCTGTATCGGAGTTAAGAATTTTTAGCCGTCGCCAAGCAAACAGAGTCAAGAGCAGCCATGTATCAATGGAGAAATCGCACAAGAGTCGTGTCTACATACTCCCTATGCGGTATCCTCAATCTAGTTACTTATTTGGCGGTTCTCGCTTTCAAAGGGAGCTCTTCGTCCGCTGAAGATCCACTATGACCACAATTCTGCCCCGGAGCCGAATTTGTATATATCGGCCGAGCCGGAGATGGTCTTCGCTGGCCCCAAAAATCTGCCCCTGATGGTCTCGTTCATCACATAGTTAGCTCATGCTTTTTCTCCCAGTGATAATTCACAGTTCACTCAAACCGTGATACTCCAGAATTCTTTCGATGCTACGGAGACCGTCGCATTTTTACTGCCCTATAGCACACCGATAGCACGCCGTCACCGATTCTGTTCCGACTCTATCAACCTGGCTGACTGACTCGCAGCGAAGCGATACTCTGCCACCCCCTTCTCACCCAATTCAAATTTAAAATCTTTCTCGAATCACCACTGGCCAGGCATCAAATTCTGACATCTAGCTAGTGCAGTGCGCCTCGCCTCGCCCTACAGTAAGCTTAGTTTGCGAACAAATCGATCCTCCTAGCTGGACAAGCCGGCCGCTGGGCTGAGTTTCCCGGTAGATGACGATGAGATGGTCCAAACGTCTGCTGGCGAAACAACATCTTACAGAAAAACAAAATTGAGCCTCATACCTTATCTGAAACGCCGTAAACATCTGGAGTAGAGGTATGGCATCCGTGCTTTGTCTAAGGTTTACTGGTCCTTAGGGGTGTGTACAACGAAACCCTACGAGTCAACCCAGCAAAATTGACTCCGTAGTTGGCACTTATCCTGCCCAAACAGTGGATTTAACACGAGTCTTTTGTGGTAGGTATCGGTAAACAGTTGTTTTACAAAGGATATATAGTTCTCTTGAATTGCTCATCAGGTCTACAGACTTTTTATTACTATTATTTGACCTCATTCTGCCATGCACTTACAAAGATGCACTAGGTATGTTCCAAGAATCGTCCTACGAAAACGAACAAACTCTTTTCTTGTCTTTGCAAACCCCCCCCCGATGATCACTTACACGACTTACCATGTTGAGTGTCGGCCGCCCTCCGACGGGGGTCCAACGTGCCGTTGAAGGAGCGCGGCCCGTCCTGCGCCCCACTGTGACATAAACGGTAGAAACCTTGTGCATGTTCAAAGTATCCACTTCCCAGTGGCCGTATCCGCACGTACCAACAGCAACCAAAACATCTCTTTTGTTGACATTCCCACACCCCATCTCAAACCACACTACAATGCCACAATGGTCATAACAGCGTCGCGATACCGGGCACGCAAGCAAAAGGTCTTCTGGTCCGTTTTCCAGACGGATGTCTCATCGCCCACGCCGCGTTCAACTCCCGTTACAGCCTTCACCGATCAAGGTGTTGCCTTTGGAGGTCCCCACGCGTCACCTCAGCATGCTCTCCCACCACCACCACCGCCTCTATTTCACGAGACCCCACAACATGCTGATGACCAGGTGAGGTGGGATCGAGCATGGCATACTGTCACCTCCAAGATCCAGCTACCAACTTCAGTTGCAGTTGAAGATTCCTTTGGCACTTTGCCTCCAGAGTCACAAGACGTTGACTTGGATTTCCGTGATTCCCTGGCTCTCCTTCTCTACCCTGGCCGCTCTTTGCCCCAGGCAGCCCATACAGAAGATATCCTCCTTTGGCACACACATCAAGTTCGCCAGCACTTCATTCACCATGTTATGCCACTATTGTCTGCGTGTTCCAGTCAGGGTGATCACACACAGGTCTTGGCCTCAAGTGTCTCGACTCTCGAAGCAGCTCACAGGCAATACCTTTGGGGCTTGACACTCATAGTCCAAGGCTACGAGGACGACGCATCTGCTAACTCATCCTTTTCAAAGTTTCGTCGCGATTTACATGCCATCATTGGTAACTC